GCTATCTGGTTATTCTTGCCTCTAAAGGATTCTAACTTGAGCTTCGGAGCCCTTACGCCGGGTTCTCCCCGGAGCTTCTCTTCTCCCATTTCAGGTTCCTGTTACCCACTCCAGAGGCAAGATCGTCAACAGCTAAGACCGGCCAGATTGTGCATCATCAGTAAGAGAGAGAGAGAGAAGGGAGTCCAAGCATTTACAAGGTCAAGCATATGGAAAAGAAATTAAAAGATTGACAGAGTTCCCCACATAAAGGCATAAGAAACTGCATCTCAAGTAAAAAACATACCATATACTATGACATGATCAATAACCTTACAAAATTATTAAGCCACTTAATAGGGCCTAAATATGAGACATCAATAAAAAATATATCTCTAGAATATGCAAAAGAAAATAGAGGACATAAAGAAAATCATAAATCAGGTACTCAAAAAAAAAAAAAAAGAAACCATAAAGCATACAAAAAGGAAGATATTTGAGGGTAAGAAAAAGCATACTTCTTTAACAGTTCTGTAATCTTTCACAGGGTCCTCAGCAGCTGCATCAACAACATGAACCAATAGTCTGGTTCTTCTTAGGTGCCTCAGGAAATTTCGACCAAGACCCTGCAAGATGAGAAGGATCTTAGACTTAGCAACTTTAAGCCATAGACAAATAGAGATGAAGAAAATGGAGATGTGAAGATATACCTTTCCTAGATGCGCACCCTCAATGAGACCAGGCAAATCTGCTAATGTTGCTTCAGATGAATACTTCAGTGCTCCTAAACTAGGGTCACCATCAAGGCGTCCAAGATTTGGCATTAGAGTTGTGAATGGATAATCAGCAATATCAGGTTTTGCAAGTGTTATGGCTGCCAACAGAGTTGATTTTCCAGCATTTGGAAGCCCCTGGGAGAAAAATAAACAACTTCTAGCCAAGGTTTAAAGTATCAATACTCTTGATATGAAAAAACATGTATATCAAGAGTTTCAATCAAACAGAACTCATTTTTTTATTTCTTTATTTGACAAATTGTCAGAATTATCATATGACCTCTTTTATTGGTTAAGACCAACGAAATTGCCTAACTCTAAGGAAGCAGTATATCAATGAGGTCAAAAATCATATAATAAGCACTGATATGTTTCAATATTTTGAACCTTGTTTCTAGCAACTGGAAAGCAATTGTATTAACTAATGTTTGATCTGGTCTGCATAAACAGGCCTAAATGAACAAAACATGACTTAATATTTTAGAAGCAGAAAAGACTGAACAAACATACGAAAACTAGTATTATGAAGAAGATGACCATGACCTTTAGGTTGCAGTTATGAGAAATAAGTACCTCAAAAACAGAGAAATAATGGAAGTAAAAGCTTAAAAGCAAGCCTCATGAGCATGGAAAGGAATGATACACAACAAGAAAACTCTCATCTAAGGTTTAATATGGGAGATTGGAAGGGGTAATCAGATTAAATTTTGGACAAATAGATGGATTTCCAATACCCCACTAAAACAAAAGAATAAATAATATGAATTGGTCTCAGGAGAAGAACATGGAGCTGAGAGTGGCAGATGCCATTGACCTAATCTCTAAAGGTTAGAACATGTCTTGATTTGAAGGATGGTACCTGAGCACATTGCAAGAGAAATATCTGCCATTCACATTCTAAGTGATGAAGTGGAGAACAATTTGATTTGGGATAAGGATGCTGAAGGCAAATTCTTGGTTAAATCAGCATATAATAGCACCAATACTGAGATTTTACAAAACAGAAGTCTATTAAAAGCCCTCAAGAAAATAGGAAGTATAATCTGCTCTCCAAAAATTAAGATCTTTTATGGATTCTTCTAATGGACAAGCTTCCAGCAATTACTAATAGAGAAAGGTCATAAATCATAACTGTGGTCCTGGGTGTCCTTTTTGCGGCAAACCTGAGGATAGCAATCATATTGCTAAGGACTGCCAGATTGCTAAGAAGACTTGGATGATAGTGGAGAAAATATGAAGTTCAAGGACTGGAAGGCTATGATGTATGATGAGGATATGGAAGCGAGATTTAGGTATTTTTGGATAAGGTATGTTATTTATTATGCTACCTATGGAAAAATAGAAATGATGAGAAATTCAAAAATCTGACTGGTAGACCACCAGAGTATTGGAGAGTGCAGCTATCCATATGAAGGAATTTCTTGAGGCCATTAGACTAATGAGTTCTATAAAGTCATCTGATAATAAAAAACAGCCTTGGATTAGCTGGAGAGCTCCTACTAGGAACATGATTAAGATAAATTTTGATGCCTCCACGAGACAGGATGGAAGCAGTGCATTTGGCTATATTGGTAGGGATAATAAAGGAGAAATTATCATGGCAATGGGCCCAATTAGAATCACAACAATTACCGTTGCAGAAATGTGGGCTGCACTTGAGGCCTATAGAATTGCAGTCCAACTAGGTGCGAAGAGCATATGATCCAAAAAGAGACTCCAAACTACCAGTGATAGCCTCAACAAGAAGATGCAGGTGCCATGGAGATGTAGAGCCTTATTGAATGAGTGTCAGCATACCACTGACTGCTATCAAATGAATGTATTCTATTCTCACATATGGAGAGAAGGTAACTAATCCTCAGGCTTTCTAGCAAATCAGGGTCACGAAGGAAGTGTCACCATGGTTGATCATTTTCCATTGGATGTCTTATAGTGCTTTAGTGAATGTTTGGAAACGTGCTAACTGAAAAGGATATATTCCACACAAAGGATGATTGCATTACAAGATAGCTTTTTCCCTAAAAATGATGCCAGATACTAATGTCAAGTCCCTAGGCATCTCCCTCAACAAAGTGAAGAAAGACCTTACTGAAAAAGGCTCCTTCGGATCTCCTTTGTGAATCTTTCTAATCTCCCTATCCCACCCCTCATATGGGACCTATACCTAACTCACAAAACCAGTACCAACTCAATTTCCAAGTCATTATCTCTTCTAAAAGTAGGAAACCAATGTCTTACATTTTCCACCACCTCAATATTGCTCTGCACTAAAGAGTACTTAAGTCTTGCCATGTCATGAAGATGCAGAAAAGCAGCAATGAATGGAGAAAAACCATACCAGGCACCACTTCTCACATTATACTAATTATAAAAGATAATGTAAGACTTGACCATCTGAATTACTAACAATATTACTGCAAGGAAACCCTTGTAGGGCGAGCAAGAAACATGTATTTGCAGTTTCTTCTACAATTGCTCTTCCCTTTAACAAACTCACTTGGTTAACTTTTGATTAATCTTTATTGGTTACATCCAGGGGATTATTAGCTCGAAAGGGAAGAAAGAAAGAGAAAACAGAATGCAAAGGGCTATGATTGCTTTTGGTATTGCACTACTCATATCTAATAAAAAGCTCTGGATGTCTTTTTCTTGTGAGGGGTAAACTGGATACGGACCTAAGTTTCAGCATTTTTAGCACAAAGTAGCAGCTCTCAGACTTTAACCCCCAGTCTGAGATTTTACAGTCAAACCAAAGCAATAACTCTACCAAACAAATCTAATAAGAAAGTAGTCAGAACAACTAATACTTACCACTAAGCCAACATCAGCAACTACTCTTAGTATCAACTCCAAACTAACCTCCTCACCAGGTTGACCAAGAACTAAAACCTGCCATAAATTGACAAATCATCTTTCACGTTTCGAGAATAAAAAGTATCTGATATGAACATTAAGTAACTAAAACCAACCTGATTACAAACTATCAGGTCAAATTTTACTTTAAGATATAAGATGTTTCCCCTCAAGAAATGGTTAAAGTAAATTGTTTGAGTCAATTTGTGCGGAGTGTTCTGCTGTAAAATGGAGATTAAGCCAAGGTTGGCAACTACAAGAGCCTACATCTTAATGTAAAGTTGAGATCTGAAGATTCAGTGTCAAGACTCGAGGCTGTAATCATTCTTATGGGATTTAAATGGCACTTAAATGATCTTGTGATAGCCTTTCTAATGATCAAAGTTGGAAGACCTGAAGCACACACATGAAGATACATGCGTATGTATAGTCGAGTAGAAATTTAAGCAAATTGCAAAATATGTAACATCTGGTGTCCATGCAAGTGGGTGCCTGCATTTTACACACACTAAGATATTAACACTTCCACTCCCATTGGTACCAATCAAAAAAAGATCACTTCTATTCTCATGGGTAATTACATGAATCTTCAACCTAGGGCACAGTTCCAGCTAAACACTTTTCATGAATTGAATCCCAAAGTAGTGAATAAGCTATATCTTGTAACCCACCCTTTTCCAACTTTCTTTTGTTTTTAGTTACTCAATAAAACTAATTAATTCCAATATGTTAATGTTTGAAGAAAATAAAACCCAAAAAAGAAAATTAGCTAATCCAGAAAAAACATATTAGTGTCAGATAGACAAAAACTTGGAGATGGCCTAAAGGAATATGCATTTCACAAAATAAGATTCTTTTTTTTTTTTGAAAAAGGTAAGGATCATTCCATTTCACAAAATAAGAATCAAATATGGTATATATGAAGGTCTGAAACAGGGCATTAGCAATCATACCTTATCACTGTCATCTCTCACAACATTAGTAGTTAAAGCCATTATTTTTTTCCTTTTATGTTCAGGCATTTCCAGCAAACTGATCTGCAACAAGATTAACATAGGAAAGGTCATGCTTGACCATGTGGTGCAACTAGACGTTTAATGGCAATCCTATTAATACAATTGATATTATATAAGACAATAGAAATCTATAACTATCGTAAAGAATCATGCTTCCATGGAATCTTGTAAAAGAGATGTAGGGCTATGCTGTGGATCAAAGTGATAAGTTTCTTTTTCCTTTCTCTGCATAGCTAGGTACTTTTAAAGTTCCACTAAGTGACAATTTGATAATAGCTCAAACCGCTGAACTAAATTACTTATTGCTTTGAAATAAGTTTTTAAGGAGGTTCTGATCTCCTTAATGTTTGGAACTGAAGTTGGGATGATTAATATGCCTCAATTAATTATTTCATCCATTAAAAGGCAAAGAAATATGTCATTCAATCCATCCTCTTGACACATTACCAAACAGCCTCTAAGAATGTGAGCCCCTTATCAGGCCATCCAACATAATGTTCAATAACTTGGAGACAGAACCAAACAGCTACTGATAAAAGTTGTCGAAACATTAAAATACAGGGAATGCCCAAATTTGAGAAATGATCACTGTGAAGTATTTGATAGAGCATAGAAAATCTACTCAAATCTCCAGTAATTTCAAAAGAACAATGGCTTACCCCTCCATGTCCACCTCTTGCAACTAGAATTTCATCACCTGGGCGTGCTAAATCAGCCAGAAACATTCCTCTCTTACGCTTTACAACTGTACCTGCCATAGGTACACAAACAATCAGATAATGCCTCCAGAAAAGGATTTATCAGTTCAATTTGTTAATAATGTCCATATTCCATTTCACTCTGGACGGTTGGAATAAGTACTGAAAATGTCAACAAATTTAAATAGTTGGAACCATCCTTTGTGTTCCTTCATTTGCCCTCCCCCTCCCCCCTAGCATATTCTCTTTCTTCGGAATTGGGCACAAATGCAGGCTAAGAGTCTCCATAGAAGGTGGTGTAATGTACAAACCTACTGGAACAGGGATACGGAGTGTGGGTGCAGCAAATCCATCATGCAGTTGGGAGGTCAATACACCCATTGCATCAACATTTCCCCCGCGCTTTGCATTGTAACGACTCTTCTTGTGAAATTCCAGCAATGAATCTTTACTCTCATCTGCATAAATAACTACATCTCCCCCATGTCCACCCATAGGGAGGATAAGTGACCCATCAAAGTCCCTTTTATACAAACTCTTTTTCCTCCTCCCCTGGTTATTTTTTTCTTGTGATTTTGAATCAGACTTTTGGTTGGGCATGCTAAGAATCGCTCCATGGCCTCCATCTCCAGAACGAACTGTTATGATGACTTGATCAAAGTACTTGTGTGGTTCCCTCATCATTGCAGCAAGGTTGGCCGAAGGAGACTCTTTGACCTTGGCATGTCTACAATTAATAATACGGTATCGAGTGTTTACTGAGTGGCTTCTTTTTTGCTGAACTAACCTGTAACCCAGATATGAAGTGGGCCAAATTACCACCACGAGAACTAAAGAAAGAAAAAATAATCAGTTTGAATAAACAGGAAACATGGAGAAGCATTAAGATAGCGTCTATGACCAGAGATAGGAAGCTCAAATAAAATTGGAATTTGATCATTGAGACCAAGACATTACAAAAAGAGTAGATATTCGGAAGTTGGAAGACATGAAAAGTTACCAAATAAAATACAAAAGAATACTGAAAATGGTCTTTGAAACTCAACTTTTCTTCTTAATTGCACATATAGAATCTAAAAGAAACGAGGGAGAGAGAAAAAAAATACAATATAATCTTTTCTCTTTTCTACAGAAATTATGAAATGGGCTTCCTCTAAAATTGTTCGTTCTTCAATAAAAGAAAGGCAGAGGCATTGAAAATATACTGTCAACTTCATTTTACTTGAAATTCCAAATAATTTTTTAGGCTAAATTGTTTTTCCGACCAAAGAAAACAAGAATGAAGAAAAGTTCTGTGGGTTCTCTTCGGTTCCTCCCATCTGCTATCCTCAACAGGAAACTTAAAAGTAAAAAATAAAACTTTTCCAAAGTATTAAAAAAAGGCACCCAATCCACTTGAAAAGGAAGTCTGCAAGTAAATTAATTTGTAGGAAGCGTTTGTTACGAAACAGATAAAATTTGGAGTAAAACCAACAAGCAAGAAACGTAACGAAGCTGCAAAAGTGTAGAGAAGTATATAATAAGAACAAGGAGTGGATATTGATTTTAGTTTTCCGATAGCATCATGCACTCAATTCTTGAAGCAAATACCTTGTTGGTAAAAGAAGACGATTGGAGTAGAAATTGAAAGACGAGTGATCCTTAAGAAGTTGAGGATTCATAAACGACAACAACGGCGGGGAAGCAGTATAAGCCATTTCTCACGATGCTCTCTGAGTGCTGCCGGAACTCGGAAGAGACGACAGAGTCCGTGCCCAGGTTGTTTGTTATATCTGTGATTCTAAAGCGGTAATGAATTTCACCATCTCAGTATGAGTGTTGTAAAATTGTAATATCTCAGTTCTCAAATAAGCCCGTGCAGGCAGCCCATAAATCTGATTTAACGGGTCACAGATGTATAGAGCTGCCAATGGATCTGGTCTGGACCGCTCATGGTAGACCCGGACCGAACCGATAACAACGCACCCAGCCGGGCCAGCCCCAAGACACGTCACACGTCCAATGATCCAATTGTCTCTCTAAATAATGACTGAGACCAAACCCTATAATTAATTAATAATTGCTAGAGGTATCAATGGACCGGTTTGATTTGGACGGATTGGATGGACCAATAAGACATACTGAATTTGAACAACTGGATGGATCAATATGACATATTGGATTGGTCTTAGTCCATCCATAATAAATTTATATTGCATTGAGCCATTATCTGGTCCAATGATAGAATATAAGAACAAATGTGTCAATGGACCAGGTTTGAGTTAAAACCAATCTAAATTAACAGAATTTTGAACGGATTGAACAGTTTCTGGACTGGTCCAAAATGGTTCAAAATATTCATTGGACTGGATTAGACCAGGTCCATTTGTAATGAACTCACATTGGACTGGACCAGATTGGACCAAATCCAATCCAATTGACACCTAAGTGGAGACAAGAAATCTTTATAATTTGTACAAACTACAAGATGGCCGTTGCCTCTGGCTTAAATATGCATTCTCAGTCTTTTTATCAGCTGGATATTGAAATATAAAAAACTTTGAAAAATATCTCTCATGTGCTATATGTACGTATGCCCGGGTCAAATCAGATCAGAATAGGTGAAATAGATCCAACTTATTGGGTCCATGTCTGATTTGAAGAAATTTCAACTACATCAGGCTTACATTTATTACGCTATGCTTGATTTGAAGGAAAAAGTAGGGAAATGAAGGAAAATGTAAGAAAATCTATACAAGATTTGTAAAGGTTTCAGTGCCTTTCCCTTCATTTTTCTACTTTTTCCTTCAAATCAAACACAGCCTTAGGCCCAGCCCATTGAAAATTTAACTGGAAAAAACACGGAAGAAGAAAAAAAGGAAATAATATAAGATCCTTCCTGCCTCCTAATGAATGAGTTGTTTGTTACTCCATCACTCCCATCTTATATATTAAAGTAATGATTTTAGGTCAAAGTCCCTACAGTCAAACATGTGGCTCATTTACATTGAGACACATGTTATTCCAAAAATTTAAACAAAATGGACAATGTCAAATTCTGATTAGTGGTAGTTCAAGAAAAGAGCCCACTAACATGGAGAGTGGAGCCTACTACCATGCAGAGTTGTGAGAAATAGGAAGCTCCCACTTTCAATCCTTTCCTAAAAAAAAGGAGATTGTGTTATTAATTAATGTTAACTATTAAACTAATTAATTAATTCCCGTTATTGATTACTAATAATAATTACTGTTAACTACTTCTAATTAATTAATTACAACTATTAATTACTAATAATAATTACTCACTGATAATAATTAATTACTAAAAATTATTTCTTATAATAATTACAGTTAATACTTATTTAATTATTACTAATACTAATCATGATAATTATTACTTCAGAATATTAATTATTAATTGGGATATAATCATTTTACATTAATATTAATTCATATTAATTATTTTATAAATATATAATTAGTGCTACTTATTTACATTATTATTATTACAAGTAGTTATAATTAATACTATTATTATAGTTAATTCTATTATTATTCTCCGATAAATACTTCATTTAGTAAAAGTTAAATTATAAAACTTTCTATTATTCAATATTGTTAAACTTGAAGAATTATAAAAGAAAATATTATTTTATGAATTAACTAAAAATTGTATTTATAACAAATTAATTACTTAATAAAAATAAAAATAAAATAATAATAATAATACTTTAATATTACTGATTTCAAAATCAATACACACATAATAAGAATATATTATTAGTTAATAATAATATATGTATTATTATTACTGAATTCATAGTTATTAATATATTATTAATCTATTAATAATACTGATTATTATTAAAAAATGTTAATAGAAAATTTTAATTACTTAAAGTTATTTGCTGAAATTACCCACTTTAATTTGGATAGATAATTAATTACTGAATAATTTTAATTACTCTTTCATTAATGACCTTATTTTTGAATAATTGGTTTTTTATGTTCAATAATTTTTTCTTGCAAAAATCCAAATAATTTTTCATTTGTAATGTTAACCGTTTTATTTTTTTTCTCTTATTTAGTTTCTCAAAAGATAAAAAAATAAATTAATGATATTTATCTATTTTTACCAAAGTATGTATTTATCAAGTTATTGTCATTGATGATGACGATGATGATGAGTCAGCTTTTTGAAAGAGAGGAGTACTAATAATAATTAATGACTTTTAATTAATTAATTTCAACTATTAATTACTAATAATAATAACCCACTGCTAATAATTAATTACTGATAATAATTTTTTTATAATAATTACTGCTAATACTTAATTACTGATATTAAATGATTATTGATAATATTTCTCATTATTAATTCGGAATGATAATTAATAACGATTTTCATAACAGTAATTAATAATTCGAAAATAATCATTTTATATTTATATTAACTCATATTAATTATTTTGAAAATAAACATTTAATGTTATATTAGAATTATTATCAGAAATTATAATTCATACATTTATATTAAATAATTAATATATTATTATTATCAGTAATTATAATTAATACTTATATTAATTAATATAATTATATATTTATATTATTATTATTATCAATAATTATAATTAATTATTACTAATAATAATGATTTATGATAAAATTTAATTATTGACTATAATTTTTTACTGATAATTAATTTATTAATTATAACAATGATAATTATTAATCGGGATAAAATCATTTTATATTTATATTAATTCATATTAATTATTTTATAAATATACAATTAGTGTTACTTATTTACATTATTATTATCATAAGTAATTATAATTAATACTATTATTATTCTCCAATAAATATTTCATTTGGTTAAAGTTAATTTATAAACTTTCATTTATCCATTATTGTTAAACTAAAAGAAATAGAAAAGCAATTATTATTTCAAGAATTGACTAAAAATCATAATTATAACAAATTAATTATTTCATAATAATAATAATAATAATTTAATATTACTGATTTCAAAATCAATACACACATAATAAGAATACATTATTAGTAAATAATAGTAATAATAATGATTTCATAATTATTAATATGTTATTAATCTATATTACTCAATAAAGATATGGAATAAAAAAAATATTCAAAATGCAACTAAATGAATAAACTAAAAGTCTATCAGTATTCTAATTAACTTGAATTTGACACATCAATATGCCCAAAATTATAATTTCAACATACATTTCCTATTTCTATCTCCTAATTCCCATAATTCAAACATACCATTATGTTATATACATGTTTCCCTAACTTTTTCCAAAAGATAAATTCTAGCTAGTCTACGTGCATTGTGGGAGCTTAGACTTAAAATCTGTAACCATGATCAACCAAAAAAAGTGTTGCCACCTAACTTGGAGGTGATTTCCATACTTAGAATGGTCTCATTATTCTCCTTTCTTATATATTTCCTCTGTTGGATGGGCTTTGGAGTCCTGATTAAATTATCAATTGATTGTAACCATACATGATGATTTGAGTGTAGTCATATATTTTTCATCTCTTACTTCAAAGGATGGATGCAACTGCAAATGTTGTTTGGCATGGATTGTTTTTCTTAGCAGCTCTTTGAATGATTTTCTTCCTTCTTTGCCTCTTTGAATAGATATCATTTAATTATTTTTTATCCATTCATATGTCCCTAAATATTAAGTAGTATTGGTGATATTGTTGTAAACATCCATCTTATTTTACTATTTTATCAATAGATTAATGATTCCAAAGTTATTGATACTTTTTTATGGGTGGGCTGCTCAACATGACACTGATTTTTTATTGTTAAATAATAAATTTCAAATTAAATGATACTGTAGTTGCCCCTTACTTAGTATGAGGTCATTGTCTAGATAAAACATGGTAAGTCTATTAAATCAAATAAATAGACTATCCTAAATGTCTATTATAAATAATTAAAAAATGAAATAATTCAAATTAAATCAAATAATTACTTGCTGAAAATTACTGAATTAAGTAAATAATAATAACAATCAATTATTTATATAAAATTAATAATAATAATAATTAAGTACTTAATTAAGTAAATAATAAAAACAAAATAACAATCATCAATTATCATTAATGTTTATTCAAAACATACCCCATAATAATTAATTAAACCTTAAATAAAATCAATATTTTTTAACTGTCATTAAAATTTTTAAGCCAAATCATTAATGTTTATTCTTAAATGCAAAATATGAATTAACAAATCTATTATATAATAATTATAGTTGGTTGGAAAAAATATTTTAAGTAAATATTTAAATAATTACAAATTTAGTTAATATTATTATTATATAACAAAAAATTAAATTAAATACTAAAATAAATTAATAATAAGAATAAGAATGGTTAAATTAAATTAATAAATGGTTCAAGTTGAATTTAGTAACCTGTATAATTTTACGGGTTTGACATATAAGGGTCAATTTATGTGGACCCGTAGACTGTATGAGTGTCTTGAAAAATGGCAGTTTATAAACAATAATAAAAATAGTAATAAAAATTATATATATATATATATAATTAATTTCCCCATACTTAGTATGGGGTCATTCACTGGTTAATGCTGTAAGAAGTGCGGTCTGCTCTATTGAATGTTATCCTTTTGAAAATCCATTCCTCTTCTATTGCTTTTCCGTTAATGAGCATATCTATGATGTTGTAGAAGTGCTTGATGGAAAACTATCTGATATTGACGAGAGCCACATAAATGCTATTAGCGAAAGCACGGTTTTAAAAACTGGACCAGACCGAATGATTGGACCAGTTGGCCCAAATATGGTCATGTCTAGGATCAGGTTTTAGACCCAAAAACCATCTGACTAGGGTTCAGACCTGATGGCTGGACCATTTGACCCAGGAACGGGTGGTCAAAGTAGTTCCATTTTTTAATTGTTTTTAAAAACCATAAGTGAAAGCATAGAGTAAATGCTGATCTGTCAAGTGTTGGCCGATAAACCTTATAGCCATTTTGGAGTAAATCAAGTCCTTCAACAAATCAATTTATGGAAAAAACAAAGTCCGAACGAACCTAGGCCTCTCAAGAAGGTGAAAGTATCAGAGAATCGGCCCCTAGAATATCATGAAGCAAGTTCTCACCATGTGAAATGAAATTATTCACTACTTTGGGATTAATTAGTTTTATTGAGTAACTAAAAGTAAAAACTGAGCCTAAGCTTCAAGAAAAAGAAGGAATTGGTGCTCGTAGGGTAAGTTCAATTTATTTGTTGAAAGTTTAAAGTGGTATATTTTCTAATGGCATCATATTGTACTTTAACAGGACTATAGGTGATTCCTCCAGGCTCTGGAAAAACCAACAACAAAGGACTTGAGATTTAGAGAGTTTTCTGACTATTTGTTTGGTCTGCTGGTAATGTTTTACTTTTACAGGGTCTACTCTATGTTGATCCTTATAATCAGGTAGTTAAAGACTTCTGTAATCTATTAAGCTGATTGCATATACATTTAGTCAAATTTCATAGTTGCATCAAATTGATATAAAATGGTCAATGATGTGATTCAATGTATATTGAAGTTAATGTAATATATTGTATTGTGCAGCTAAGTATTTGGCTGGACTTTCAAATCTTTTTGTGAGATATGATGGAATCCACCGAAGCTAGGGCATGAGGATTTTTGTAATTATTTTTGACAAGTGAGATAACATTTACTAAAGGTTTCTCTTCCTTTCCCTGCATATTCCTTCAAACCAAATAGGTGTTGAGTACCACTTTATGATGTTATCTAATTCTAACTAGTTACCTATTGTTAGTATTTTCAGCTCTACTATTACTTTGGTTTCTTCCCTAATAAAAAAAAATTGTTGTCTGCCACTCTACAAAGCATGGTTTTTAAAAACGAATCGGTGACTGAACTGGTCAGAGGTCTGGTTATTGGTTGAACGGTCCGATCGTTCAACCTGAACGGCCAGTCTGTTCTGACAAAAAAAATTGGAAAACAGTCAAAACCATTCAAACGGTTCAAACAATTAACCGGCCGGTTCAGCGGTTTACTGACCAAAATCAATAGTTTTGAGGAAAAAAACAGTTTTGAGGAAAAACGGAAGTGACTGGTTCTCAGTTTTTTCGGTCCAACCGTCTGGTCCAGTCCGATTTTGAAAACCATGCTAAAAAGTATATTTTTCTGTAATAACTTCCTTAGATCTCTTTTGCTCCCAATTTTTTTAATTATCTTATTTATTGTCTCCTTCGTTAATGCTGAATAGATTATATATGGATGTTTTAGATATTACGGGTTATAAAAAAAAAGTAACATTTGCCTGTCACTACCCAGTTGCAGGGTCAAATTGGAGAAATTTCATGACTTACAGTTTCAGATTGTGGAAGTATGAAGAATATAACTGATGGGGCACATGGTTTTGTGGTTTCATTGTGGCTGCAGGTGAAACTTTTGAAGTAAAAAAAGGCATTTTGCAAGTCACTTCCTAGCTATCTTTAAAGCTCTTCTTTTTGTTTTTGGGCAGAACTGGAAGATCTTGGGAATTGGATCAGACTCTGCTACAACCAGTGCAATTGTTGGGAAATTCAAGGTAAATTACTAGTATTGCTATTCCTTTGGTGGTCCAAGGTAAATTACATGGTGGCATACTTTTCACTAGATAAGGATCAACAAAGAGAGCTACAAATAATACAAATAATATAAACTTGGGTACAAATAGGAATGATTGTAATACACAAACAGGAAATTGGCCACTTTCTTCACTATGGTGCAACTTGACAGGTTGATTGAGATTTGTTAAACTTTGAATGGGCCTGGTCCTAAAGCCGGGCTCGATACAGTTTGGATTTTTCAAATTAGTAACTTGACCTAGATGCCTAAACTTGGGTCTTGCTCCGACTAATTAGATAAAACTCAAAAATAATATCAATTGAAAATATTATAGTGCTCCTTTTACTTTAATTTCCTTAAACCCATTTTCCATGAACCATATCGTGTACAAGGTGAGAAATTAATTATAATTTGGATAATTTAAATTCCCTTTAGGCTGAGTTTGGAAGGAGTACAAATACAAATATGTATGTATTTACTCTGTACATATTTGCATTCGTACTGCTTCCAAACAGAGCCTTAATGTTTAACCATTCTACTATTCTTATCCAGCTTAGAATAGAATTTGTTTTACTTATTCTTCGTAATAAAGCATTTTCTTCGTTCTTCTTTCAAGCCTGTGTATAACAAAATTCCAATAACTTTGGAGGGTACTTGACTACAACATTCCTTTATTATTATTGGAGACCCTATGCCATTCATCGTAGCCTCAAGTTAAGATATCTAATTAATGGATGTTGGACCATCTATCACAGGGTGCTGATCACCTTACGGTCATCCAATTGGATATTGTGCATTCAGTTTGTTCGGTTAAAATCTGAACCGAACAAACCGAATTTTATAAAACCGATATACTATATTCCAAAACCAAACTTCACCTAAATCGATCAAATCGAAGCAAATTTTTTTTTTCAGTTATTTCGGTTGATTTGGTTAGAACCGAATTTTTGCCATTATTTGATTGTTTCTTCCTAAATTGTACATTTGTACTCTACTGAATCACAAACAGTCAAGTCTGGAAAATGGTCAACTCGAATAGAAAGTTTTGAGGCAACCCATACTCTTCTAAGTTCTAACGATGAAATAACCATGGTCAATTGCAGGGATTTATAGCAAGAAAAAATGGAAGAAATTGGGTCCCAATAAGGTGAGAAGACGAAATAGCCTCAAGGGTTTTAATTGTTTAGTGTTTATTTTCTTAATGAAGAATAAAAGCTGAAAAGTTCCCTAACCTTGTCTTCACGCTCTGAACCGGTCACCATCGCCGCCTTGCCGAAGTATCACTTGCCGCTGCCATTGGTGAGTGACTGAGTGGTGCAGCTGGTGCTAGACCGAAGATTTTAAGAGAAGATGAGGAGAAACTCAGAAATGAAGAGAAGTGAAGAAGTGAAGAGTAGAAGACAGAGAGAAAAGAGAAAGAAAGTGATGACTGTCACTGATGACTGAGAGCAGACTGAGCAATGGGCAAAGAGAGGCATAGAGGGTAGAGCCGCATAGGGAACTGGGAAGGCCAGAGGGAGACTGGAGACATGACACGTGAGACATTACATGTCAAGCTCTTGGATTTTGATGCTTTGTGTTTTGGCCTATAAAATTACTAATTTACCCTTGCAAGTTCGGTTATTTCGGTTAACTGAACCTCTAAATATCAAAACCGAAATCGAAACCCAATAATATTAAAACCGTAATTAAAAACTAAACCAAATCATTTAAACCAAATTAACCAATCCGATCAAACCGAAACCAACATTTCGGTTCGGCCATTCGATTTCAACCGAACTATGCTCACCCCTAGGTCTTTATAGATTTCCTTGAGAATGATTTCATATCCATATTTCCTACCTGACCACGAATACATGGATGAGGGGTGGATTCGAGTCGAGCCAAGCCGGCTCGAGCTCGAGCTTGGCTCGGCTCAAGCTCGATTTAAATATAATATTTTTATTAATTATAATATTTTATTTTATATATATATATATATATATATATATATATATATATTCGAGTCGGCTCGACTCATTTATTAAACGAGCTTGTAATCTAGGCTCGACCTCAATTGAAACCGAGCCGAACCAAACTCGAGCAGCTCATGAAGAGCTCGACTCGTGGCCACCCTTTTGATAAGGGAACTAAACTCAAAGATTCCACCTTATTTTTGGTATTTGAACAGCAGGTGTCTTTTGAACAAACATTGTTCTCTCAAATGAACAAAAATGAGACCTTTTGTTTACATTTTTCATGAGTTATCTTTTTTGTTAACATATTTATTCTCTAATTATGCTTTTGGTGTATTGGGTAGTTTACGGAAATTGATATAACCATGCTTCTAGAATTCAGGGGATAATATTGTCTGCCCCTGCCAACAAATTCCAGTAATTACTGAGGATAGAGTGTATAGAGGATAAAAATTTTAAAGACAGATGCAAAATTGTTTGTGGATAACATACACATGATACAAGATAGCATACTTGCATAAATAGCACATTACAAATTCCAATCCCCAAGAAGTGGATTCCAACCTCCAAACTTTACAAGCGAACTGCTCTTGTCAAGACTTTTTACACTTGTAAAATTCCCAGTACTCTGCAGGCATAAGAATAAAACTGGTAATGAAGACATGAAATAGTAAAGAACAAGATCCTGGATAGCTAATTTCCTATTGAGATACTTGGTAATATGCATGCATACAAACATACATACACGATACATAGAAGATAATCCTAGCAAAACATGCATACACGGAGATGCATACATTCATACAGATAAATTCATACCAAGAGGAAAAGAAAAGAATTAATGAGTGGTTGAGATTAAGAAGGAGAAAAGCAGAATCTGAAAAAGAAAAATCCAATTTTCACTTGATCAAATTGAATCAGCTGAATATACCTAGGTGTTTGCTTATTTTCATGAAGGATATGTAATACAAACCTTGAGGCATTGCTTCCTTTCAGTATCACAAATTGGATAATCATGTGGGCAACAGTATCGGTGATCCTTGCAGCATACAGCTGAATCCAACTCACAACATTTCCATGAAAAGCATATTCCCAAGATACGCCGGGTACAGCAGCAGGTTTCCCCTTCTTGACAGTAAGTCAGAAGATCACATCTAGTAGGGCCTGGGGAAGGTGATGGGGGAGGATTTGGACTCGTCTTAGTTGGGTATGAAGCTAGCATATTTATACCACATACTCCTTGTGGACTGCCACTATTACGCAGCATGTGCATATAGCCATTCATTCCCCAGCGGGTTCCCCATGAGTTCTTCACAATCCAATAGTCAACTCCATTTTCCGAACCATACCCAACAATCAATACAGCATGATCCAAAGAAGTTGAACATGGGCCACTAAAGATCCCCTGTCAAGAAAATGTACGGAAATCCCTCACTGTTAATGTTTGTTGTATCCTTAAGGGGAACAAATTAATTATTGGCAATTAAGTGTAAAGACACACCTTTGAGTATAATTGGAATGCTCTCTCACTACCACATATACCCACACTCACAGGTTGAGAAGCAACAGCCTGGAGCAGATGTTTTTCACTGTTGGATGGTACATCAGTATAACCATCAATGGTTACAACATGTTTTCTTAACTACAGAAAGACAGTCCGGAAATCAGACAACAGTATGCATGCAGAAAAGAAATATAGTCTAAGAAAATTAATGATCCTAGGAACGTGTTCAATGGACAAGTACAAAAATGCTGGAGGAAAGAAGCAATTACCTTGTCTTTATTACAGGTCCTTTCCCCACCTTGATATGGGTAATCGTCCTCTGTGTCAATCCCTTTATTCTTTATAACCCATTGAAATGCATAGTCCATAAGCCCACCCCCACATCCACTATTGTAAGATCTGTCACAGTCAACTAGCTCTTGTTCAGAGAGGCTCAAAGGAGACCCAGTGACAATCTTATTTATGCCTTCTATTGCGCCTGTGGCTGAGAAAGACCAACAAGCACCTGGAAAAAACCAAAAAGAATCATCTATAAATGAGAAAATGCTACAATGTGTAGGTAAAGTGGTAAACACCACCATCATCAGCATCCAAGCCTTATCCCAACTGTATGGGTCAGCTACATGAATCCAAGCCTTCTACAAGTGGCAGTTCATAGAAGGCTTTCCAACAAACTTGTTGGCCCAAACAAATTAAGAAGTGATAAACAATTACAGTTTTTTAAAAGACCTAGGGGACACTCTCAAAAACTGTCAATAAAATAAGAAAACAGTTAGCCTTGAAAATTTATTTTGGAAGTTTAGGTAACAATCCTTGTTATTCCCTTGCCTTCAGTTTATGTGCAATTTCAATATATTCTATTAGAACAATATTACATCTACCATCACTATGTCTTCCCTCTTGAGGGAAAAAAGATGGGAAATTGAGAGATGTAAAGACATCCTGATCTGGAAATCTTAAATTCTTATTAAGGAACATAGGTTGGCTGGATTCATTCATTGGCAAACTTCTTTTTCTATAGAAAACCAATCTGTAGACTTATAATCTGAGCATACCACATAACATGCACAAAATAGGTTGTGAATCATGAGAACAAATAAAATCACAAATCTCAGCTTAGTTTTTGTCATAAGCACGCATTGATTAGGTTTTTATCTTTTATAATTGCAACTATATTAAACCAAGTACCATGATCACAAATTCCCAGGTATCTTTCCTGTAATTTAACTTCATTTGTCCAAGGCTTAAAACCTAATTTTGTTTTCTTTACTTGCACTACTAGGGTGGTTTTTTTTTTCACTTCTCTTAAGTCAACTTGCAGGCAGACACAAGAAACACTCCAAACCTAAGTCCTGTCAAGTGCAATAAAATGTATAATGAAGAGCCATATAATTTACTGTTCTAATATAAAAGAAACAGAACATTTGAATTCATATTATATATTTCTTGTAGATTATGGAATACTGAAGGTTAGGTCCATATCCAGCCTAAACCTCCCAAAATCCCAGATAGCTGGGATCAGCATTGCACAATGGCCTTTTTTTATTTTTTGAAAAAGGGTAACTTTCATTTCAGAAGCAAAAAAAGAGGATGTACAGGACAGCTAATACAAAAGGCCAAGAAAACCAATAAAACCAAAAAAAATCCCCCAGAATTACATAGGTAAAGAATTCCCACCATGCAAAAGAGCCCTATACACCACAGCTTTTGCCAACCCATCAGCAACACTTTTTAGCTCTCTAGGAATCCATCTACAAGAACAGTTTAATCTGGAAGCAGTCTCCCTGATTTCATTAATAAGGAAGTCAAACATCCACGGGCCTTGTTGAATCCTGTTAACCCAGTTTATAACATTTTTAGAGTCACCTTCCACCATTATCAAAGATAGACCAAGAGGCGAGAGCTGAAGCTGTCCTTAAACCCAACAAAAGAACTCCAGTTCCACCTTCAGTTACATCAGAATCCCCAATAGGGCCACTATAAGCCCAAGTTTAATTGATACAAACTCTCAATGAAATAGCGTACTTTAACAATGATCAACAGGTTACCAATAGGTCTGATTTGCTAATAACTAAGTAACCAAGTAGTTCAGAACATGTCCTAAATCTTCTTTCATTGAAGTTTAATCTACCAATTTAAGCCAAGATTTTTTTGGTAAGGTAGAATCACTATTAGTGCAAATCAGACCAGTGTTTGATGGGCATTGTACAGATAAAGATGACAATTTCACAAAATTTTCTGATCACTTCAATATCCCTATAAAATTGTATATTCAAAAGCGTACTGATCTTCCTTCATTTTTTTCTTTTTCATTTTCAGGTGAAAGTCTTCCAAATCCCAGCTATAACAGAAAATAAAATTAAAGGTCCTAATCAGAGCCAGAGACAGAGCCTGGTTTGGAAATCCTTTCCAAGACCTAGATCGGAAGCCAGAGACCTTGGTGAAAAGGATCCAAATATGGAAGATATTGGGTATTGCAAAGCTCTCTCAATTAGGATCTCGAAAAGGGGTACTTTAGTAGGATTTGAGAATCACAGGGAACAAGACTGCTTATTTTGGTTGAATTAGAAGGTAATCATGACACCCAGATGCCTGAAGAGATGTGTGGTGCTCGAATTCGGAGCTTTCTCCCTTGACCCANGAATTAGAAGGTAATCATGACACCCAGATGCCTGAAGAGATGTGTGGTGCTCGAATTCGGAGCTTTCTCCCTTGACCCAACAACTGCTTATTTTGTGAAGCGAAAAGTATCCGAAAAGATGTTTCCCTTTTTTTTGTTTTCCTTTTTCTTTTTAAGCTCAAGCAGTGAGTTAGAATTTGGTGCACAAATATGAATTTCATCGATTTTATCTAAGGGTGTATATAAGCTGATCATGGTAAGTCTGAGGGAAAAAAAAAACCATGATTTTTGTTCAAGGGAGCTAAAAAAATGAAATTAACTTAGAAAAATCCAAATAAAAACTTACCACAACTGCCCTGATCCTTCACGTTCGTGACTGCCCCCTTCTCCCTCCAATCAATTGATGACGGAAGTTGACCTGCGATACTGGGGCTTTCAATCAATGATGGAGCTCTAGGGGAAGACCGAACCATATCAGTTGCCGCGGCAGCGAGGCCTAACCTAGAGATCTTGAATTCATGATGGGTGAGATCAGCGAAGGCGTTGAGAGCAAGGGAATAGGTTGAATTAGCCATGCTATTGTGTTCGGTAACGAAAGCAAGATTATCTTCAAAAACTTTAAGCCTGAAGAGCCTCTCTTCTTCTGAGGAGTAAGTCCTGCCATGTTCTTCACACCAACGATCGAAGAGATCCGAAGTGGAAGAGTAAGAGAGATAAACATGGCTAAAAATAACAAGAAGAAGTAGTAGAGAAGACAGAGACAAAACCATTTTGGGATAGAGAAACTGAGAAAGAAAAAATGGCTAACTGGGTTCTGAGTGCTCGGTAGGGATTCCAGCCACAACCAGAGTCCAATGGGTGATTTGTGAATGGACCAAAGAGGTTGAAGCTCTTACGACACAATACATGTATTGTATGGACGCAGCCACCCCACTGAGCGCAAGAACGAGATAGAGAGTCTTCATATATCGTATCCTCCGCTGCCGATGATAGCTGAGACGGTCGCTCGGCGTGCTCTCCGTGGTAAGGTCATTATGTCACTGGACCTCACGTGCACCCTGCTCTCTGTCTCCTAGGGAAACTTTTTTTATGTTTAAACTTTAAACAGAAAAGAAATTACTACTTGTTTAAAAATGAGCCCTGATTGATGATTATTTATCTAATTATCTTTTTCCATCAAAGTTCATGGTAGAATCGTAGAAATAAGCACAAATGGAGGTATTCGTCCCTAAAACCTAAAACTGAACTCAGCCGGTAATCCAATGATCCATCTGGTTGAGCCATCAAACCTTTTTGACCCAAATCAATGGGTCATAGGTTAAACGCTAAATGCATTCTTTTGTGTTTTTATCATGAATACAATTGACAAAAAAAAATCATTCGTCATATTTTTTGTTTAATATAATAAATATATAATATCATATTAAATTTTATATAAATTCGTGTGTATATAGAAGATCACATATGATTACATAAAGTTCATAATTAATATATTCAATTTCTATAGTTATATAAATTTATTATATGTATCAATTAAAAACTCATTATTCTTTAAATTTTCTTTGCTATGATTAATATAAAATATTAGAGATGTACTAAATATTTTCTATTAAGTTTTTCTATTTTTATAATTTATTTATATTTTTATCTCTTTCTAATTCTTATTATTTAGTTATGACATCAACTATTAATACATTTGACCCTGAAGATTAAATTGTTGACTCCTTATCTTACTAAACCAGAAAAGTATTGAATTTAATCTAATTAGTATAATTTATTAGTGAGAAAAATACCTTAAATATAGGATTTAATGAGAAAATATGAGAGTTAATAATTTAAACATAAAATTCAATGAGAGTGAATTCAATGAGATGAAAAGTAACATTTCAAATGCCCTTATAATTAGAGAGGGACCAAGTACCCCTTAGAATTGGGGGCATTTTAGTTAAAAATAAATTTTTCATATCATTCATACCTTTAAATTAACCAAAAATAAGTCTAATCCGATTCGGTTCAAGTTGTGAAAATAACCTAATTGAAAGATTAGTTAGGTTCTATTTCCAAACTGAACCAATCAAATGAACACCCTAATCAAATCCACTAAGGCCATATTTGGTTTGAAGGAAAAGGTAGAAAAAGGAAAGGAAAGGTAAGGAAATCTATATAAAGTTTGTAAAGGTTTCCTTCCTTTCCTTTCTTTTCCATACTTTTTCCTTCAAACCAAACATAGCATTAAATACAGCCTCTCTGATAAGTTCAGTGGACCTCTCATGCATTTAGGGCTGGGATGGCTTGATGGTCATTTAGGGCAAACATTCACATCCACCCTCGCAGGATGTCGAGAAGAGAAAAAAAAGAAGAGTGCATCTTTGATGGAGAATCCAACGGGGAGGGGCCACCTAAGAAGAGCTTCAACAAAGGTTCTTCCTAGAGGTGTAAATTGGGTTGGGCCACTTGTGGCCTGGCACGAAATTGGTCCGGCCCGGCTTGGCACGACAGCCCACGGGCCGTGCCAGTGGCCCGCAGGGCCCGTAGCGGGATACACTCAACCCGTCCAAAAACTAGCCATTGGAACCCCCCCAAGTCCCCCCAATGGCTAGTTTCAGCTTTTTGGGGGTTTTTTACATAAATACCCCCAAAACAGTTATATAGGGTGGTATTTATGGATTTTGCTTATGGAGGGGAGAAAAATGACACAAATGCCCCTAACAGCTATATAACAACTAATTTAGGGGGCTTTGTGGATAAAGTTATAAATAACTTTACAATTAGCAAAATACTCCTCTTAACAACTAAAAACAATTAGTTTCTAGGGTATGTTGGGCAATTGAATTATTTTCAATTCCTATAAATAACCATATCCTCCACCATTCTTCTCATCATAGCAATTCAACAATCAACATTCAACAATTTTCTTATTCTCTTAATCTCTCTCATACTTTCTCTGCAATCTGAGTGAACTCTAATAGTCTGATTGGCTGATTATTTGATTCTCTAAGTTAGCAATTTGGAGGCTTGGAGCCTTGGACGTTGAAAGGATTTAACCGTTGAAATCAAGTTGGGATTCTGAACCGGCACCCCGGGGTAATCTAATTAAATTAATTTTATTTTTTTAGAATTAAAAAAATGGTCGATTCTTCCCAAAACCCCAAGTTTAGTAGCCCGATTTGGAAAATATTTAAAATAGAGGATGTTGAGGGGAAGGGGAAAAGAGCAGCTTGCCAAAAATGTAGAAAAGACTTTAGCTATTGTAGCAATGGTGGTAATGGCCATTTTATCAGACATTTTCTCACACATGAGAAGGAAGAAGAAATAACGCACAATTTAAATGAATTGTTGAAATAATGAAAAATAAATTTTAAAAATATTGGGAGAAGTTGGAGAACATTTCTCGCCGCCAATCCCACCATGGCATGTGATCCGTGATCTACTAACCCCTCCGATGTCTACAAGCTACAGTTCCATCGGAGTCTTGTTTAGTTGTCTTAGTGCAAGTAGTCAAGTACCATTGTACCAAGGTTGGCTAGATGCAGTCATAATGCAGAATATAGATTACAACTTTACAACTACAAGACAAAAGAGGGCATGATACTACTACATACACTGCATATTTCACCTGAAGCAGATGATGAAAGTGTGAATGCTTTCATCATAATGTATATGTAAATAAACTTTGTTTAAATTGTAAATTTTAACAAATAACCTATATTTTTTTCAAATTATTGTAAATTTTGTTTTAATTTTATTTAATTTATTTGTTATTAATGTAATTTTGTATTTTCAATTTGTAACTATATTGTATTTTTTATATTTTATTAATTTATTATATTTTCATATTTCATTTATCCAAGTATGAAGTATCCAACCACTATATATTTCAATATTTGTGTGCTTTGTAATTTGTATCATTATTTATTCAAATTTAAATGAAATGAAATTCCAATTTGAATTGTTTTATTTATTTATTTATTTTTGGGTAATCGTAAATTCGTAATCCATTCAGTCTAGTCCGGTTCAGCCCAAGCCCAAGGCCCGCCCTATGGCCTAGCCTGGCATGGCCTGCAGTCCGGTTCTGAAAGGGATGGTAGAATCCATCGTATGGATGCCAAAACTGTTGCGAAATGGGTGGGCGAATTTCAAAAATTTTTTACCTACCTTCCAACTGGGAATCGCATTCCTTGTTTTAGAATCAAGATTCAATGATCCTACTTGAACCAGAACCAAACCAGATCTGAACCACAAGAGAAGAGAGTGATTATACCTGATCCAGAGAAATAATATCTCCCAAAGTTGGTGTTCACACCCAAAGAAGACACCAAGATCCGCTCCTGCTGAAGATGACACAACAACTATGGAACAGAACTAGTAGAGTGCGTCCTACACACTGAATCCTTCACAAGAATCCTTTGGAAGCAATGAGCACTGAATTGAATCAGCCTTTCAGCAAAGACTGATATCAAGAACTCTTTCTTGATCTTTCTCTAACAGAGAAAACGAAATGGAGTAGATGGTGGCGGCTATTGGAGGAGAAGGCTAGAGAAGAAGATGGTGAACTGCTTTTTCTTCTCTAGGGTTTATGAGATCCTACCTCAAAACTGCAAGGTGTTCTGTGTAAATCCCTAGGGTTCGAATTCTTGTAATTCGAATTAGGGTTTCCTCCAGTTGCTTAATGATTAAGAAAACCTCCTAATCATATCAGAAGTTGCCCTTATCCAAATCTGTATTTGGATTAGAACTCTTCTTAATCTTATCTGCAGATTAGATAAGCTTTTGGGCTCATCCTAATCTCAGATCCGCCCCCTGTTAATGGTTGATCAAATCAGCCCAGTTAGAAATGGGCTTTAGGCCCAATAAGAATCAAATGATCAAAAGTCTTCCAAACTGCTGCCCAGTTGGGCTTCTTTGTATGGCGTGGGACCCAAGTATTGATCTACACACCAGCCACATGGGTTCGGCCCAGCCTCTGTTACAAGGCCCATCCGAATTCACTAGAGAGCCCAGTGAACTCCTTGAGCCCATCACATGGACCCTATGGGCCCAACACTTACACTAAGTGGTCCCTGGGCCAAGCCATCTTATAAAAACCAAGGGACTGTGGGCAGGTGCAAGATTAACCCATCAGGTATTACTCCAAATGGCCTTACACTTAACCTCCCAGCCTATAATGATCAAGCACTGCCCGACAAGAGAGGACCTCTCCCTCGGTTGCAAGGAACAATGCTGCACTCTCTACTCACATGGATCCCGGGAATTAAAACCATTTGCAAATATTTCGAAACCATACTTAGGTATATATCATATATATATATATATATATATATAAATTTTGCAAAACAAAATTCCAACGATTGAAATCAACTGCCGGCAGTTTGGTTTCCATCAGAGAGAGTGCATCCCCGACCATTACCTTTGTCCGACAAAGGGGCTGATCCCGTCACTATGATCACCCACTCAGATGAATTCTCAGACTGTCCCAACATACCCAGGTTTTGACCCCCACTAAGGATCTCACTAATTGGCATATCAAATATAGCTCAATCCGACACCTAGTGTAGTACCATAATCAGGTCTAGGGGTCAGGTGTAACTTTCCAGTTTTGCCCATCAATCTCCAAGGTCCAGGACAATACTGGAAATCTGGTCCGGTTCAAGGGTTCAAGTAATCCTACACTGCGTGTGCCTTGGGTCTCACCCTGGCGACTGAGACAAACCACCCCAACAGTTGGTAGCACACCAGTGTCAGCATTGGCAGGATAAATCTCCCCAGACTTATCCAACGGCTATGAACATTTAAAACCAACACAAGTCTCATTAAGTGTTCAGTTTTAGGGTCTTACACAAAAGTATACCACACAACATGAATCAAACATGTACTTCATTTATTTATATTAAATATCAAAAGTACATCATAATTGATTTAAGCTAAGGGCATACAAAAACTGTCCAACAGGCTCGTCCTGGGCCGTGGGTTGTGCTGGGCCGACTCCCATAATTTTCACAGGGTGGGCGGCACAGTCTGCACTTTGCGCGAGCTGCCCATGGGTTGTGCCCCCACTTTACACCTCTAGTTT